GATTCCATGAGAGAGACAAGCTATGGGAGCCCCGAGGTGGATTGTATGGCACCCCTCCTAGGACTGCGGCCCAATGGGAGTATGTCTCCTGCCAAGTCAATTGAAGGAAGTTGGCGCGCTCCCCCCAACTTCCGTGTCACCTCTTCCTGACTCTTCCCGCACATCTATATTGTAATTTTCACACATACACAGGACTCCAGCCAGGAATAAGAATGCTTTTCAGGACCAAGAGAGGTGAGGATCTGGAGTATTTAAAGAGGACAGGTGAAAATGAAGCCAGAAGGGGAGCTGGGACAGGTGAAAATTGAGCTAGGATGTAGAGAGATCGAAAAACACCAGAGAAGAACCAGGGAAACCAGGCTAGATATGTGCATTGCCCCCCGTCTGCAGAGAGCTCCACAGCTACAGAGCCCCTGAGGGATCTGGGAGTTAGAATCGGTTTGGCTCATCAAAGAACAGGTCTGAGGCTCTGTTGTGCGAAGGCTCGTTCGGGTCGCTCTGGCAGCATAAAACGGCCGTAAAGGGAATAGAAATGGCCCCTCAGACTAGCCTCTGGGTGAGGGGTTTCCCTGAGCAGGGTTGAGGTGGGCTAATGCTCCAACACAGGCCCTGCTCCCAACCTCTTTCCACCGGGACCATGGGAAGCGCAACGGAGGCCAGGCAGGACCTGGTGCCACATTACTGATAGCACCCTGGTAGCTAAGAGCCACCTGCCCTTCCCTCCCCTGCCTAGCTCTGTCCCAAGCACAGGCCCACAGGTGCCACTGATCAGCCCCACTTGAGGTCTGGTTAATTTCTCTCAGCGTCCATGACGAAAACCGTACCATGGCTGGCCTTCTCCAGAGCACGTCCAGGTTAGACAGACATCTATTAGGGATGGTCTAGATCAGTGTTTCTTAAACTTTTTAAGATAGAGGAGCACCAAACAATAATTTCTTTATGGGGAACACCAAGGATTTTTTTGTTCAGAAAAAAAAGCCCCCAAGGAAAAGTTGAGCAAAAAAAAAAAAAAAAAAAAAAAAAAAAGAGGAGGCTTGTCCCTTTAAGGGCAGCCATTTTGAAATCTATTCTCTCCAGGGCTCACCGGTGTGCCGCGGAACACACTTTAAGAAACGCTGGTCTAGATGGTACTGGGTCCTGCCATGAGGATAGGGGAATGGACTTGATGACCTCTCAAGGTTCCTTCCTGTTCTAGTGTTCTATGATTCTATGGTTCACTCGCTGATCCCATTGCTACAGAGGGAAAAACGAGGCCTCTCACACTCACTGTAAGCCCTCTGGGGCAGCAACCATTGTCTACTGAGGGGGTCGTGCGGTGCCAGTAACTCAGACTGTCCATTTTAGAAGTACATTTTGACTAGGTCAAAGGAGGGCCCCTTTAACTGTCACTGGAGCCACGAAGCTGGAAATGTTGGGCAGAGAGTGCAAAACATTTCCTCCCCGTGAATCTTTGCTCACCGTTGAAAAGGAGTTTTTAGTCACTTCTTCCCCGTAGGGTCCCCACTCCACCAGCCAGGGAATGGACACTGGTCCAGCACGGGGGCTCGTTCGATCAATCCGTATGAGCCGCCACTGCTCCCAGCCACCCAGAGACTAGCCTGCAATCGAAACAGAGTTAAACAGCTGGGCAGGAAGACATGATATTCGAGGAACCAGCAATTTGCTCGGGGCCGTTCCAAAGGATCCCCTTTCCGGAGGTGAAGGCTCGTCTCCTTAATCCTGGGAATTTGCAAGGCATCTTAGGGCATGTCCAAACTTGCCATTTAAGGGGGGGAAGTGGCAATGGCTGCTCCATGCAAATGATCCCTGCGTGCAGCAATACTTAGGTACTGGAGCAGGTCAGGGTTTGGGGGCATGGGGCTGGGAAGGGGCTCAGGATGCCCCATGATCACACCCCCATCCCACAACACCTATCATCAAGAGAGAGAGAGCTACACTGGGGGAGAGCTGCCCTCACAGCACTGCTCTCATCTGCCAGGGAAATGTTACGAATGTGAACACTCTCTGACGCCCATGGAAGTGAGCACACAAACCAGGGCGTTTCTTTTACTGGTTCACGATCACCGGTGAAACTGACAGCGCAAAAACTCTCCAAGTGTACACATAGCTTAAGACTCCATAAATTCAACACATCATTTCGTTTGGTTTTAAAAAAAAAACCTCTCAAACAGACTGAGCCTGTTTCCTGTGGCATTCACAGAGAAGCTGTGATGGGCTGGGTGGTTTAATGGGTTGACTCCAGGTCACCTGGGATGACCACGGTAACTCACTTATTTCTGTGCCACGTGTAAGCGATGGAATCAGCCCAAATTCACAGCAGATCCAACTCTTCAAACCACCTCATCCCACCCTGTCTTCTCCCAATCCGCCCTCCCAATACGCAGGAAACACCGTGGGGAAGGGAGGGGCAGGCAATGCTGATGGAAGCGAGAAGGATGCCCTGGGGTGAGGAAGTGAGGGTGAAAGGACCGAGGGTGGTCTGGAAATCTCATGAACATGATGGGTGTGGCCTGCACATGACAGATGCCACTGGTCCCCAGCCCAAAGATACTCTAGAGGACAAATCTGCCTCTTTCGGAGACCTTGCTGAATGACGCTTTCCCATCAACATCTCAACAAAACACTCCTCCCCCAATTCCTAGTGCCCAGCATAGCTGTGGGGCAGCTAGTGCCTGGCTGTTTCTCCATCTGGCACTGGGCTTCTGAGCACCACCCTCTCACACGCCTGGCACGCACCTCCTCCCCTGAGTCACAAAGCTTCTGGTGGAGAGCTCTGATGTCTCCCAAAGAAGGAAGCACATGGAGGCCCCGTGTCTTTTCTCCCATGCTTTCACCGCACTGCTGTCCAGGTAGGTGAACGGCGATGGTCACTTTCCCATGATCCTACTCACTCCACATGCCAAATTCACTGGGAGCGTCCTTGCCCGTCAATAGAAGGCGCAACAGGATCCTTTGGGCCGGCAAGTGCTCTGGAAATGTGCCATATTATTAAACAATACAGGGAGGAATAAATGGGAAACCCTGGCGAGAGGGAAATCTCATTGATCGCACAGAATCAATGACGCCAACAACAACTCTGTTCAGTGCAGACGTTGACTTTGGAGAAGGGGGTGGGAGGTGAGATGGGAAATTACCAGGAGCTTTAAAAAAAACGGATTAGCATTGACTAATAATTTCCGGGCTGTGAGTAGATGTCATTAATGACCCTTTTTTATTCATGCAGAAGTTCCCAAAGAGGAGCGTAATGTTCCATTAGTAATAATTGAGGAAGTCTCTCTTCGGGATTATGTCAAAACCTAGCGATGATGCGCCTGCCAAAACATTTTGGTGACAAACGCATGAAGCGTTTGACAGAAGGTACCACAGCAGGTGAAGGCGGCTTTGCGAGGGGAATCCTAGGAGAAGAAAGGTAGAAGATGGTGGCGGAGTTAGAGACGCATGCTGATTTGCTGGCAGGAGGCCGCAGGGCTACATTTTATAGAACCCACCTTCGCACCCCCTGGGAACCTACAGTCCCTGCTCCATCTGATTGTTCTTGTTCAACTTCCTTCATTTGCAATACACCCATAATTGTGCTATCTAGAGGTCAACCCTGAAATCAACGTGCAACCCACCTACCATGGTTCATTATTCCATGCAGTGACACTGAGACCTCCTACAAAGAGAGTAATGAGGATGCCTTATAGCCTTAGCTGAGAGCCAGCTGGCTTTTTCACTCACGCTGTCGAGGCTCATGCATGAAGTTCCAGAGGCCGCAGGTTCGGTTCTGCTTGTCAGTGTTACGCAAACACCTATTGAGTAGTCCATGCTCTGCGCTGGAGAGAGTGGTAAAAAAGACACACTCAGCAACACAGACACTTTGCGAATTCGAGGCAATTTCACCAAATTGTTCCATTCCAAAACTTTTTTTTTCATTTCAAAAAAGTTTGCAACAGCCCGTTTAGACATTTTCAGAACAACCCATTTCAATTGTTCCGTCTGAAAGAGCGTTTTAACACATGGTTTCATTTTAAAGGAGCATTTAAAAAAAAAGGTAAAAATCAAACCAACAGGATTTGGACAAGAGACAAATATTTTGTTCAGCCTGAAACAATTTCTTCCACATTTTCTACTTGCTGAAAATGTTCAATATTGGCTCAGACCAAACCCAATTTTTTCCCCAAAAATATCAAAGTTGCCAATGGACTGGAAAATCCATTTCTCCCTGCCCCTGTACCACCTGTTAAGCACCATTAAAAGTTTGCATCAAATTTAACATCCTGCACAGAAAGGAGAGATTGCAGCTGACTGGTTCAGACACATACACATGTGCTAACCATGTGCATTTCATGTATATTTAAGTTTGATGTCAACCATAGTACATTGTTTAAAATATATAGACATAATTCCAACCTTCAAGGCATGTCTACACTAAGAAACTACTTCAAAATAATTAAAATCGATTTAATAACTCCCAAACAAAACAGAAATAGCGTGTCCTCGCTATGGGGAAACCTCGAAATTAGTCCGAGGCAGGCTCTGTTAATGTGTACAGGCTACCTTGACTTAGAGCTCCCGGAAGCACTGGGAGTAATTAGAAAAACTTAAAAAACAATGAATAGTCTAGTAGCACTTTAAAGACTCTAGCAAAACATGTTGATGGTATCAGGAGCGTTTGTGGGTACAATCCACTTCTTCAGATGACTGGAGCATTAAAAGTCAACATCCAAGAATAAATAATGGAGGGGGGAGGAGAAAGGGAGGAAAAAAAGCGAATGAGATTGTTCAAGCGACAAGGAGCTGATAAGAACAATTTGCACCTTGTGTAAGTGCCCATTGTTTAGTTGGTTAGGTCATTAGGATGTGGAAGGTAGTGTGCTAGCCAAGTAATGTCTTTATTCATACCGCTATGATAGAAATCAAACTTGTAAATGAAGTTAAGTTCCAACCCTTCCCTGCGTATTGGCTTGTGAAACTGGCCTGAAACAACATGGGCAGGTTAAAGTGTTCTCCAGTAGGTTTTTGTGTGTTGCCTTTTTGGATATCTGATTTGTGTCCATTCATTCTTTCCCATGGAGAGTAATTAGTCTGAATGACTCTGGGGTGTATTTATTTCAAAATAGTGGCACCGGCGCATCCACGTACCTATTTCAAAATCAGTGTTATTCCTCGAGGACAGCAGGAGTACAGATTTAAGCAGCCCATTATTTTGAAATGGCGGGTGTGGTCATGTGGAGGCTTCACTTATTAATTCGGCCTAAGGGGAGTTATTTTGAAATCAAGCCCTAGCATAGACCATAGTTATATTCCACATACCCCTCCTCCCATAAGAAACCTGCAACATGGACATTGTGTGGCACCAGCTGACTGAACACAAGGAGAATAAAGTCCTGTTTGATGCTTGACTTTGGACTATGCTGAAAAAAATTAAATAGAGGATTATGAAGGTGATGAAGAGTTTTCGGCTGGAATGATTTTTCAAAAGAAAATAGAGTTTCCTTTCCATCAGATATAGGGAGATATAGGGCAAGTGGTGCATAATGAGAACTGTGTGATTTTGGGAACGGGAGGTGTTAATCCAATTACAAAAAATTGTTTTGAATCAACGCCAAACCCAATTTTTCCTCAACATTTTTCTCAAACTTAAAAAGTCATTTTTCCCCCTTTAAAAGTAGCATAGAAGGACATTTTGAAATAACGTCATTCGGAATGGAACATCTTTTTCTAATTGAAGTTCTCTTTAAAAAAAAATACACACACACAGAGAATCTGGGGAAAGTGACATGAGTCCACAAAATATTTCAGTGCTGCCAAGAACTGCATTTCGCAACAACAAGAACAACAAGTGTTCTGGCCAAAAAAATTGGCTCAGCTCTGCCTATGGCCCTGTTCTCTGCTATGAGCCAAACTCGAGAAGGTTGGCATGAGAATGGGGCTAGCAAGTCAGCTTTCGGGTTAGATCCTGGGGAGACTGAGGCAGATTTGGGGGGCTCCCGACTGATAGAAGAGAGAAGCACAGGGAAACCTGCCCTGTTCTGAGAGTTTGAAATATGTCGCACAGTATCTGAAGTTGCTTTTTGTGTACACTAGTCCGGACACCATTTGAGGCCTGGTTCAGACTGGATTGTGGTGCAAGGCAGGTTCTAATTGGCTTGGTTGGGATGTTAGAAGCCCGACACTCTAGCCTAAGCCGGATCCTGAGGATTACACCTTTCTCGCGTGGGTTATCCCCATAGGGAGAGCACTAGAGTAGTCTGGGGGACGAGAAGCACAAGAGCAAACCTTCCCAGCCCGCGGGGGGAAGCACACCGCACTTGCACAGCAGTGAGTTTTCTAACATGTCCAAATGTTCCACAGCCTCTCCACCACCACCTGCTCCCTTGCTCTGGTGCAGCACCACACTAGAATGGTGCCGCACGCTGCAGACACAGCCAGTTGCAGGGTGTAGCCGATGCATCTGCATGGGTATGTCTACACTACAGAGTTGTGTCGGAAAAATGGCCGGTTTTCCAACAAAACTTGAGTTCCATCCACACTGCAATTGTGTTCTTTCGCAAGTAAATAGAAAGAACAGAGGGCTTTTCCCACAATTGGTAATCCTCATTCTACGAGGAAGAACGCCTTTTTGCGAAAGAGCTCTTTCACAAAAAGGCGTGTGTGGACGGGGAAAAGGGAGTTCTTTCGGAAGAAGAGGAAAGGGGAAAAAGCACAGGAGTCCTGGTGGCCACTCCATCCATAGCAATCATAACTGAAATGGGAGATAATGTCCATTCAGTCTGGACACTCTCTTTTGAAAAAGCAGATCGCTGTTTCGATGCACTTTTGCAGTGTGAACGCTCTCTTTCGGAAGTTTTTGGGAAGCACTGTAAAGCACTGCCAGGGTTCTGGAGGAAGCAATACTTGTATATACCCTATTCATGCCATGTAGGCTGTAGAGCACAGGTTGTGATTTATTATTCGACTGGTTACTACTTGAATCCGTGTGTTTTGTTAACGGGACTCAGCGGATTCCATTATCGGTGAGCTAGAAGCAAAACTGTTAACGTTAAAACATGGGAAGTTACCTCTTACTGACGAAAACAGAAAGGAGCAGAAACTCTGGCCATCGGGATGAGAGAGGTGCTAAAGGGGCCTCAAGGAAGAGGAGGCCATGGCGGAGAAGCTAAATGAATTCTTTGCATGAAATTTGCTGCTTCACTGCAGAGAATGTGGGGAGAGGTCCTTAGATTTGTCCCCTAAAAGAAACAGCTGAAGTGTGGGGACCTGTCCCTGATGGAGGTTTCAGTAGAGGAGTTTAAGATTTGTCCCCTAAAAGAAACAGCTGAGGTGTGGGAACACAGTGATCCCTGAAATAGTGATAAATCACCAGGACCAGCTGATATTTATCCAAGAGTTCTGAAGGAACCCAAATGTGAACTTGCAGAACTAACTGTGGCAGGCAACCTAGCACTGAAATCAGCCTCCGCACCAGCTAAGATTGGAGGAGGGCTAATCCGATTCAAACTTTTTTAAAAGGCTCCCAAGGTGATCCTGGCAATTACTGGCCAGTAAGTCTAACTTCGGTGCCAGGAGAATGGATACAAGAAGAGCCAACAAGACTTTTGTAAAGAGAACTCATGTGTCACCAGTCCATTGGAATTCTTCAAGCAGATCAACTGATAGGTGAGCAGGGGCCGCCCAGTGGATACAGTGTCTGCAAAGGGCTCTGAAGCCTAAATGTTCCATGGGAACGTGCCCATTTTGATGACGTTTGGGAAAAAAAAAAAGAAATTCAAAATGATGTTGTCAACGCACCACATTTTGTTCCGACTTTAGCACCATTTTGTTTTGATATCATTTCTCAACCTGTCAAAACTTTAAATTGCATTGTGTTACCCCATATTTATATTGAAATATATTGCAATGTTTGGACATTATCAAATCGAAACCATTCCACAGTATGAAACATTGTCACGACCTTGGTTCAGTGCTCTCAGGTCACAATATTTCACGACTTCCAGTCTGGAAACGATTCTGTAATGCCCCGGCCAACACCTGCTTCTATTTCCCCTTTACCAGCCCTTGGAAAACTTACCGTTTCCAGTTGCTTTCTCTGCTCCAAATCCTTGAATGCACCTGTGGTAGGTTCAAGTCCCTGGGGATTCGTCTCTCCCGCATGCTGGTCATGCCACTGACCACCTACCTTCCTTCTGGGGTGCCCCCCCACCCTGTCCTGCTGGGCCAGAATCTCCGATCTCCCCCAGTTGAGACAAGGAGTTGGGGTAACAGCCCCCCACAGCAGACACTGAGATCAGCTCAGCTCAGCTCGGGGAGGGCTCAGCTAAATGGCCAATGAGCCATATAGATCATTGTGTTGAACACTGGGGCCATTATGTCTCCTGCTAATGGCCCTCATTAGCACATCTAGGTTTATAAACAGATCCACACTTCATAGCTCTAACTTCACATGCAAGAGTGATGCACACGCAGAAATAGAATGTACACGTTCAACTGACCGCAACTTAAAAATGGCTTGTTCCATGATGCATTTTGCCGAAAGAATCTTCGAATATGCATATTCATAAGCCAATTTTCATAACAGGGCGGGCGTGACAGCTCCCTTCACCCAGCCTGTGACAGAGCTGGTCCAAACCACAACTCAGAGAAAGACCCAGACCAAACAGCAAGTATTTCATCAGTCCAAACTCCATCCAGTCTCCTGTTCTGGGTTTCCCCAGCTCTTCCCCAGGCTTCCACCTCTGTTGATCTCTGCCATGCCTCTCGACCCTACCCCTTCCAACAACCTTTGATATCTGTCTGCCTGATGCCTTTCAGCGAGCACACACTGATCCTGGGC